TCTGCCACAAATTCCCCCAGCTGTGAGCCTTCCAACCTTCTAAGTATTCCTTTATATGTGGTTCAGAGTTCTGGGACCATCCCCTGAGCCTGCTTGGTGGGGTATTCTGTGTTGTTGTTGTTGGCGGAGCTCTCTGCTATACGTCCACCCGATCCGCCATCTTGTTTGTTCCCCCAGGTTTACTTTTGAGGAAGAAAAGCTTCATCCTTTTATACTTTTACCCCTTGGTGTTGTGTGAACAGCTATTCTTGTTTGCCACCTATTTTATTTGAAATTAATTCTTCGATAATTACTCATACTCCTGGTATTGGCACTGTAAGATAAGCACTGGACTGCAAGGTTGATTTGAACTGCAAGGTGGAAGTTCACAGCCATCAGCTGTTCCTTGGGAAACCTATATAGGGTCACTATAAGTTGGAACAAACTCGATGGCACTTAACAACAACATTATAAGGAACAAGTCTTGGTGTGCTGCTGGCGGCTTAATCTACCTGCTGTTCCTGGGAAACCCTGTCAGCAATTACAAGCATTCTTCAGGAGAAAGAGGAGGCTTTCTGTCCTCTAAAAATTCCGTTTCGGAAACCCTATACAGGGTTGCTGTCAGTTGGAACTGACTCAGCTGCATGCAGGCACCAGCGTAGTTTAGTACTAAGCAGTACTGAAGGCACTGATGGAAAACAAGACTCTAGGAATTGACATAATATAAATTGAACTGTTTCAACAAACTGATGCAGATATGAGGCACTCGATAATCTATACCAGTAAATTTGGAAGATAGCTACCTAGTCAGCTGATTGGAAGAGATCCATATTTGTGCCCATTCCAAAGAAAGGTGACCAGACAGAATGCAGAATTCATTGACCAGTATCATTAATGACACATGTAAATAAAATTTTGCATAAGTTAATTAAAAACTGGTTGCAGCAGTATATCAACAGGGAGCTGCCAGAAATTCAAACCAATTCAGAAGAGGATGTGGAGTGAGGGATATCAGGAATATGATTGCTTATGTCAGGTAGATCTTGGCTGAAAGCAGAAAATACCAGAAAAATGTTTATTTGTGCTTTATTGACGATCATAACAAAATATGTGGGAATTCCAGAACACTTAATTGTGCTCATGAGGAACCTGTACGTAATCTAGAAGGCAATAGTTTGAACAGAACAAGGAATACTGAATGGTTTAAAATCAAGGAAGGCGTGTGTCAGGGTTGTATCCTTAAAATATACATACGCATTCTGTATGCTGAGCAAATAATCAAGAATCTGGATTATATGGAGAAGAATGTGGCATCATGGCTGGAAGACTAACAATCTATGATATGCCACTGACACAACCTTGTTTGCTGAAAGCAAAGAGGACTTAAAATCCTTACTGATGAAATATGTCTTTCACTTCAATGTAAAAAACAGAAAAAAATTCTCACAGCTGGGCCAATAAATAGCATCATGATAGATGGAGAAAAGATTGAGCTTGAAGTTGTCAGAGTTCAGTTTGCTTGGCTCCCCAATCAGTGTTCATGGAAGGAAGCAGTCAAGATATCAAACAGTATATTGCATTAGCAAATCTGCAAAATACCTCTTTAAAGTGTTCAATAGCAAAGATGTCAATTTGAGGACTAAGCTGGGTCTGACCCAAGCCATGGTATTTTTAATAACTTCATATGTATGTAGAAATTGGACAGTGAATAAGGAAGACCGTAATTGAATAAGCGATAAAATATGAATTTTGATGTTGATGAAGATTATTGGAAGTACCATGGAATGCCAGAAGAACAAACAAACCATCTTGGAAGATGTACAATTAGAAGATTCCTTAGAAGCCAGGATGGTGAGGCTTTGTCTCTTTCATACTTAGAGGGACATGTTATCAGGAGAGACCAGTCCCTGGAGAAGGACATCATGCTTGGAGAAGTGAGCTCAAAGATAACATGTCCATGAGGATGGTAAAGGACCGGGCAGTGTTTGATTCTGTTGTGTATAGGGTCACTATTATTTGGAACCAACTTGATGGCAGGTGCCATCAACAGTTTAATAATTTAATCTTCTTTAAATATTCTGTGTGCCATTTGTAAATTTTCTGAAACTCTGAAGATATGCAAAGGATTTTAGATGTAAATGGTAGCTTTGGTGGTAAATTAAGTAAGTACCCTCAATTGAATGTCTAATATGTCATTCTTGTTATATAAGATTATTATCTTAGTATTAAAAGGTAAATCTCTCTATAACGCCTCTCATGTGACTCGTTTGCAGAATTTCCTTATAGCTTATTATGATTTCTACATTATTTGTATTGTCTTTCAAGTTTTTACTCATGCACGTTGATACTGGATATTGTTATTTACACCTATGCTCTCCAGTTCTTTGTATGTGTGTTGTTAATTGTTAAGGGCTACAGAGTAGGTTCCAACTCACACCGACCCTATATAGGATTTCTGAGGAACGGCTAGTAGGTTTGAACTGCTGACCTTGTGGTTTGGCATGAGGTGTTTTAAATTCATTGTTTTTAGAGACTGCAAAGTCAGTTTTGTAATGTGTTGAGAGATGCTGTATATCATTGCTTTCTTTCTTGTTTTTCAAAAGGTGAATTAACTGTTCTTTAAATCTGGCTTTTTATTTTCCATTTTAGAATTCTGAGTGTTTTCAGACTTCATATTGCTTTGCTTTTTTTGTACCTTTAAACTTTTTCACTGGCCCTAGATTTTTTTTTTTTTTTTTTGCTATTAATGTATTCTATTCTGTTGTGGGTTTATTTTCATGTTTCTACTTAAAAATATTATTAATTTCAAACAGAAAATACTCCACATTTTAATAGATGTGTGGATTCTTAATTTGACTTAAAATGCTAAGAAAACTATTAGTCCGGAAATATGTAATTTAATTGGATGTTAATCCTTCTAAGTTGCCTCTAACCAACATGAAACTTTTCACGAGCCACCTACTATTAAACTATATTATGCTGTTTTATGTTGTTAAGTGCTGTCGAGTTGTTTCGACCCACAGCGACCGTGTATCGGGTTTCCAAGGAGCGGCTGGTGAGCTTGAACCACCAACCTTGTAGTTCAAATGACTGTACATCTTAGTAATAAGAAAAAATGATTAGGGTATGTTGGCTAATTATCTACCATGTTTTCTATATTGTACTTGTTAGATTCCAGCATTACTCTTATTTTCTTCTTAGTGGAAGAGAAAGCCAATACCCACCTCCTACTAGGCATGTGCTTAGACTCCTATGCTCGCTACCTTCTGTTCACCAAGCAGCCATCACAGGCACAAAAGATGTATGAGAAAGCTTTGAAGATTTCTGAAGAAATACAAGGAGAAAGGCACCCACAGGTAAGGGAGAAAAACATAGAAGAGGGACTATACAGCAAAGTTTGAAAACATATGGGTATGAAATGCCACACTAATTGGAAATAGATTATGAGCAGATGGTTCTAGCAGCTGTCTTCCTCTGTAGGCTCTAGTTCATTGTCTTATCACCTCCCCACAAACTTGTTTCAAAAGGATTTAGGATGTTTGGTCAACACTGGCCTGTCTTTGAGAAGAACAGGTCAATAGATTAAGATCCTTGCCTTCCTTGCCCCACAGTTAAAATGTGTGTATGTGTGGGGTGGCTTGGGGTGGAGGGACTGACATAAAGAATTTGCACATACTATGTGTTTCCTTTCTTTCAGAACACTAAACAGTGAATTGAAATCAGTTGGTGTTTCCCCTCTAAGTCCTTAGAAGTTAAGGAATGAATCACTTTGTTTAGGAATGCTTGGTGTCCCCAATGTAGGACACACAGTTACAACCGAACTGAATCTCTCTCAACTTAAGAGTAATAGATTTAGATGAAAAGAAATTTTGAGCCATGAATTACCTCTAGAAAAGGGATTTTGGACTTATACAGAATGCTGTTAGTGAAGTATTGAGGAATCATTAAAAAAGGCCAACAAGGAATTCAGGTTAGCAAGGGTTAGCTAGAATCAGGGAACTTAAAACCTGCCTTCAGTGGGGAAGAAGGTATGGACGTCAGACCCTTTTAGTACCAACATGCTAAAAAAGTCTTAAAGTCACCGATGTTAGTGTCATTGAGTGACCATGTATAGGGTTTCCTAGGAGCAGCTGGTGAGCTTGAACCGCCCACCCTGCGGTTCAAATGACCTTGCAGTCCAGTGCAGCATTAACTCACAATGCCACACTAGGACCCCAGGGTCACTGATAGAATTACATTATAATGCAGTGTGGCTTCACAAGATTATTGAACTATTTTTCATTTGGTGCTTCTAATTTAATAATTAGACAAATAATATTTACCTCCCTCCCTAATTTCTGGAGTCCTGGTGTGGTGCTGTGGGTTAATGTGCTGAGCTGCAAGGTCAGTTTGAACCAAAACGTTGGCGGTTCAAGCTCACCAGCCACTCCTTGGAAACCTATCCAGGGTCATTATGAGTTGGAACCCAATTGATGGCACTTAACCACAACCACCACCCCACTTTTTAGATTTGCATAAGTTAAAGTTTGAACCAATGTCTACATACAGTGTGACTCATAAATGCATCCAATTTGTTAAAGGCTGTATCCTTCACCTTTTGAGTAATGATAAAATTTTAAGTAAAAGATCAGTTTATAAAATTCTAAATTCATGTGAAACCCGGAAGTGTGATTTTAAAGAACAAGCTGTTTCTTTCCTGTGTAGACCATCGTGCTGATGAATGACCTGGCTACTACTATGGACGCACAAGGCCACTTTGATGAAGCCTTCATTCATGTGCAGAGGGCATCAGATCTGGCAAGACAGATAAAACACCCTGAGCTACACATGGTGCTCAGTAACCTAGCTGCAATTTTGATGCACAAAGGTAGGTAGCTATAGAAACTTGATTGGCTTGCTTTAAGGATGCATGTTGACTGTACTTACGGAAGGCAGAGGACAATGAGGAAACTCCTGAGTTAGAAGGCAGGCTGAATAATGGCAGAAAAAGAATACATGCTTGGTTGAAATACCCTTGTGTTCACTTCACATTGACTTCTATACCTGTGAACCACATCAAGATAGAGAAAGACTGCAGAGATAGTACCTTATTTCTGTAATGTTTTATAGAGTTACAATTTAATTGGTTCCTCACAATATGCTTATAGCATGTTTAAGATAGGAATACCTAAGTTTGATGGACATTTTTGTGAGCACATCCATATACCATACCATACTGCTTCAGTACCTCACCGAGCTATATTTAGAAACCTAGCATGACAAGCCTTTATTACACATCCATCATTACTAATGTCCTGATTGCATCAAGTGAGGGCCCCATGGTGAACTAGAAAGGGCATAACTAAGAATCCCACAACACTCACTGGATTGGAACTCTAAAATCTGGGCCAAGTTAGAGCCTTCCTAAACCAGCTTCCTTACCTGTAAAATGGGGGATTAAATAAGGCAATACCTGCCTATCACTGAATAATCACACAGTAAATTAGACCTATAAAGTCATTAGGGCTTTCTATTCAGAATCACTTTGAAAACATAGATTTTTGTTTTGTTCTCCCTTTTCTCCTGGGTTACTTTAGAACAATATGCGCAAGCCAAAGAGATCTACCAGGAAGCACTGAAGCAAGCAGAGCTGAAAAAAGATGAGGTTTCCATACAACACATCAGGGAAGAGTTGGCTGAGCTGTCAAGAAAAAAGTAGACCTTTGATTTAATTTGATCAAGCTCTAAATTAATTTTAGTATGTAGAATAATTTCCAGTAACCTCGAGGAATAGCTATAATTCCATGCTCACTGGCACCCAAATCAGTGGCTTAATTCCTTTGTCCTTGATATTCAAGTTTTCTCAACTTCTCCTTGATGGATGATTTATATACACTACCACTTTGCTTTCTTTTTTTAAAAAAAACTTTGACCTCTCATCCCTGACAGACTGTAGTTTCTGATGAATGTCGAGTGATGCTTTCAATTGTAATTTTCCTGTGGAGCTAATCTTAACTATAGAGTAAACTGGGCCTGCTTTCCTCTTGGGGAGGGAGATGTGTGGTGATTCAGCCGATCTCCCATAGCATTTTGCTCTAGTGATTCACTGCCCTTTCTTCTTATAGCTATCTGTTTTGTGGCAAAAAGGATTATAATCAGTCCTTTTTCTTTATAATCTACTTTGTTTCATGAAGCCCAATGTAGGATTTTGGTGCATAAAGAAGAAAGTTTTTAAAGTGGGAACTAGGTACCTGAAAGTGTACCCACTTGATCATAAATAAAAATGATGTGTTTTTCTATGTATCTTGCTTGTCAGTACTATCTGAGCAGTCAACTTCAGTTGTCCACTTGGTCTCACAGCAGAATTATCTAGTGTGCTCTTCCAAGTCATATGTGCCAGGCTGCATGCATAGAGGTAGGACCTGAAGGGCAGTTAAGGATTATGCACTGAACTGCAAACCACAAGGTCGGCAGTTCAAATCCACTAGCTGCACCTTGGAAACTCTATACAGGGTAGCTTTGTCGAAACCGACTCAGTGCCACTTAACTACAGCAGCTAGATTCCGTCATTCTGTGATGTATTGTAAATCCTAGTTCTAGCCTGTAATTGTGGACCCATTTTGAAGTGAGTTGTTAATGAGTCAGGACTAGGTGGGACTACTGATTAAGGAGGCCCCCACATTACTAGAGGGTGTGACTGAAGTCACCACCCATAGTTTTCCTTGGGGATGTGGTCTGAGTTCAGTAGGTAAGAATACTTTGGCAAAATTAGGTCTCTTGCTCTGGACCTTGCATCTGGCTCATCTTAAGTCCAACCTTCAGTTCCTGGGACATGTGGCCGATCACCTGACCTGGTTCACCAGCTCTCAAAGCCTTGTGCAACAGCCTGTCTGACCAGCTGAGCTCCTGAGTCTATGTGGATGAGGAGTATCTTCCAGACTGAACTCCGAGTTACAGATTTGGGACTTGTCAGCTTCCACAATTGAGTGAGCTATTTTCTTGACAGTTGTGAGACGCGGCAGCGGTGTTGCAAAAACCTGGGTAGTGAGGGAGCAGAGGGGAGGGGAGGGGTGGAATGGTGATTGGTATCAGGGATTATGGAGTGGATTTGAGATCTCTAACCTCCATCTCACAGGTAACAGTGTAGTGCTGATCTTTCTACAAGGAATTATTCATGCAGATGCTACAAATGTAGCATTTTATTTGTGCCCAGCAATTCTGATGTATACCACTGGTACATTAGGACCACTGACCTGGATCCTAGTCCTGACTTTCTGATTTAGGGTCATAATATTCTCATCTGAAAAGTGGGGAAGGAATGAGATTTCACTCTTAACTGGCAGTAGGTGTTTGGTTATATGGCATTCTGCTATGTTGAAGCTTTATCACACTACCTCAAAGTATATAAATACAAGACACATTGTTGTTATGTGCTTTCAAGTTGGTTCCGACTTATAGCAACATTGCATAGGATTTCTGAGATGCTGCTAGTGGGTTTGAACTGCCAACCTTGTGTAGTCTAGTGCTTTTCCTACAGCACCACTGATGAAACTGACTTGATGGCACTTAAAACAACACGTACATACTAGAAGACTCCTTTCATAATAGAGACAATATGGGCTCTGGTTGTGGTGCTGTAGGATCAGCACTGGAATGTGAACCACAAGGTCAGTAGTTCAAACCCACTAGCTGCTCTTCGGAAACCCTAATCAGGGCCACTGTGAGTTGGAACCAACTCAGATATATATATATATGTTTGTTATTGACTCATAGCAACCCTGTGTAGGGTTTTTAAGGAGAGGCTGGTGGGTTTGAACTGTGAACTTTTTTGGTTAAAACCAGCCTTGCAGTTGAGTGCTTATTCTACAGCACCACACAGGACTATGGCTATAGAGATATGGATACAGTTATCTCTGAGTTTTGAATCTCTATATAGTAATCCCTGAAAACTTAAGTCCTAAAAGTCTTGAGGTCCAAATCCTCAGGGAATAAAGTAGACTTTTCTGTTTTGTCGATGTAAATTTCTTCCTACCTTCTAAACTCATCTAGACGTGATTTACCTAAACCAGCTAAGCCCTTTGATTGCGTCTATCTCAGATACCAGATTGAGTCCAGTATAACCTAGTCGAAGTTCACTGGTGATTCTGTGATATTTTTTAAAGTCAGTCACTCACCTGCAATGAAAGTGAGTTTTACTTTTTCACAACTGAAGCTATTTTGTTATTTTTACTTGAAATCTAGATGTTTTTCATTCTAGGTTTTATTTTTAAATTGTGATGCTGTAACAAAGATTCATTTCATGGCTCTGGTGCTAGAAAAACTAAATTCTCAAGAAGAGTCTCTTCCGATGGATAGTTGTGTCTCATTGTAGTCATTTGCACAATTGTCAAACAAGGCAGCAAACCAAAAGAACGGATTCCTTTGACTTCGTGGTTGAATCCAAATCCATGTGGCAGACAGTTTCTGAACTGTGCTGTGCTGTTGTTACTGAAGTTTTCAGGGCATCAATATTTTAAAGATACATAACATAGGAAAAAGAAAACATTACATTTCCAATCATAAATATATTCTGGAAAACTGACTGCAGAATATGCCTATGAACAGTATTAGCAAGCTTTTAACTTCATTCCAGGTGTTAACATAAATATGTAGCTTTAGAACACTGAAATATTAGTCTGCAATGAATATGATGCCTTCCTTGGTTTACAGCTAATGCCAGCAAGTCAGCAGTTCCTCTGTGCTGTGCTTGTTTAAATGATGATGAGGTGACCTCCACCCCTCACTGAGGGTTCCTTCCAGAGGTAAGCATTGCCCTTTTAGTTTGTCTTTCTCACTGTCTTCAGGCCACGGTGGGTAGGTAGAGTGATGCACATTTGGGGGTGGGACAGTTACTATTTACCAACAGCTCACCCAGGGGTAGCTGGATAGAACTGCAAAAAAATGTAAGTTAGACTCTGATCCGGTATGTTCTAAAAAATTGTTCTGAAGTAGCTTAAGATCCTCAAGATTGAAGAAAAACCACCATAATCTCTAAATTGTCATCAGAATCTTAAAAAAACAAACAAAACTTAAAACAGGAAACTTTCAAGAGGTAGAACATTCAGTCATTATTTTTCATCTATATTGAAGTTAGATGCATGTGCCTGTATATATTTAAAATAAAGTCCTCATCCTGATCTACAGTTTATTTTGAGGACAAGTACCAGAGTGGCAGAGTTACCAGAGGAAAGGCTTTAACTTTCAGGGAAACCTGAGCATATGCCCTCTAATTGTCACTTACCATATGGACAGTGCAGGTGGGCACTTCAAAAAAGTTTGTGGGAAAAATTCTATTATCTTTCAGTTCTGTAAATTTTTTAAGTCCCCTCCTACTGAACCTGTTTGCTTTCTATGGAGATTAAACATTACCATTATATGGTTCATACGAGATTTTACAAAAGGAATACCCAGCAGCTAATTTTAGATTTAAAGCTTCTTTTTTTAGATTGAATACTTACTTGAATCTATTTAAAACTCTAGATAGTGCTAATTTTTATCATCCTGAGATACCTTTCTCAGTGGCATTCCCAAACCATTAGTATCTGTTGAGTGCTGTCGAATTAGTTCCGACTCATAGTGACCCTATATAGGGTTTTCGAGGAGTGATTGGTGAATGTGAACCACTGACCTTGTGGTCCAGTGTATTATCCCACAGCGCCACACCAGATAAATAAGCAAGCAATTCTTGGTGAAGGATAAAACCAACCCTCAAGTACCATAATTAGTTTAAAATTAAATCTCTTCAAAATTATTTGCACCTTGAGAATCAGTGAACTGAAAACAGCCAATAAATTTCTGACCACAGGAATGAAAACAAGAGTACTAGCATGAAGAAGTAGGAAATGGACCTTACTGGTTGTTTCAGCATGACTATTGTTCAGCATAAATCTTTAAATACGGAGATTCTACACACAGAGGATTACCTTTTAAAATCCATTAATTACATTTATCAAATTAAAAAAATATATTTTGTTTTTTATCATTGCAACCTGAGACACCGAGAGCTTTAAATCACAAATCTACTGTAGCTATGGACAGGGTAGTCAAATTTATTTCAAAACCAATGTTTTGCTGGGCTGCATCAAATGCAGGAGAAAAGGAATATTTAAGGGCATGGTTAAATTACCAGTGTGCATAACAGTGAGGTATGCATCCAATAAGCTTTTAAAACTTTTAAAAACAGCTATAACATACCCATGCAGGAATAATTTTTCAGTGTTAACTAACTTTTAAAAAATTAAAGCCTGAACTGGAAATTTACAATATGGCAGAATTGTTTCTCCTACCCTTTGACCCTCTAATGTTAATGTACAGATTTTATGACAAGGGTCTGTGTTATAAATCTAAACATCTCACAAGATTTTAAACACCACTGGGAAACTGAATTTAGAGGAAATAAAGTCAGATAAAAGTACAATGCCCGTGACAGCCAACATCATGTAACTAGGCTGTATGAGGTTGTTTAGAAGGCAAGGGTTAAGAAGATAGACAAAAAAGATCTTTAAAATTTATCCCCAAAGTTGATGCGCTTATTGGAACATAAGTAACATCAGATAGATACTACAGCAAGGGGAAACACTGCAAAAAATGTAATCTATTTACAGAAAAATGATTTAAAGACATTATGGTTTTCTTTACAAACAGATGTAAGAACAGGAATTGTCCACTTTTTTTAAAAAC